CTTAGGAGCTGAGATTAATCTCGAAAAGAGTTCATACGTGGAAGGATAAAAAGAGGTATTAGACACATTATAATTTATCTGACACCCCTTTGCTCAAATAAATTGATGATACGTAGAAGAGTATTTCTGAACCAAAGTATGCTTACACTTATAGGGAAATAATATTTATCTTATGGTTCTCAAGTTACTAAGTAAAGGATTTGGCTGAGGATTGTGGCAGTTTTTGGATGGGCTACCACTTGTTAAGCGACAATAGACAAATTCAAATTTCAAATTGGCAATAACTCCTCCTCATCAATCTATAAAAGGAGGATCCTTTGCTGCGCTTAGAAGATGATGGAAAACAATTGGTATCAAAGCATGTCACGTATTCAAATCCCATTGAAAACATGCTATGCAGTTGAAGCTAACAAGTGTTGAGAGCTAAGGGGGATTGTTGGGCAGCGGCTCGAAGAAGCAAGTCCAACATCTTGCCATTGAAACATTGGGCAGCGGCTTGAAGAGGTGAGCTGAGTCCAACATTTTGTCATTGAAACATGGTGTTAACTGCTAAAAAGTATAAGAAAATAAAATTTTGCATATGTTACTAAGCTAAATATACATTTTGGCATAATGGTAAGGGATTGTTCTTGACGTAATAATATGACTTTATATTAGACAATTAAATTGTATTGAGGTAATTCAATTTACAGAAAGTTCGTTAATGAATATTAAAGTGCGTTTGAAACCATAAAATGACTTCAGAAAGTAATTATTCTTTAAATTTTAATTTACTACTTTAGGATAATGAACTATAAACTTAAATTTTTTCACAATTATATAATAAGTAGTTATTTTGCTTTCAAAAAAATATAATAACTAGTTATAATAATACGCACATTGTGCGACTGAACTAATGTCTAACATGAAGTGCAACGTGTGGAGGAATTATCAGGGATTGAAATGCTGTGTTCGTGAGAGCTTTTGCTAGACGGGTGGGAGCCTGCGGAGCTATAGGGAATATACACCGGAGTTGAGATAGCCTGGGAGCAAGGTTTTTGTAGAGTTGATCGAGATAGAGTCAGATAGCTAGTGCAACACTAACCATCAAGCTGATTGAGGAAAACGTGGTGTACGAGGGGTTGGGAAGGAATATCGTTGAGTTGTGCAGAGCATCAAAGGCTCGGAATTGGGAATTACAATTCAAACAAAGCCCGAGAGAACATAACAAGGTGGAGGATTGGCTCGCAAAGCACGCTCTTAAGGATTGCGACAATAGGATTGAGTTTGCAGTGGCAATTCAGGGGATTACAAGCCTTCTGCGAGAGGACGAACTGGGCATCGTTGGAGCCAGCATCCTGCAATGTTGTGAGGATCAACCACTGATCCTGGATATTATCCTCCTTTTCTAGAAAAAAAATTAAGTAAATAATTAATATAACTCGAATTTCTTCTCCTTGTTTCTTTCGTTGGGTTTATAACCTCATGTTTGAAAACACTCTTCTTGTTTTATATATATATATATATATATATATATATATATATATATTAAGGATCAAATTAGAACACTCCCCACATGAGAACTGTGATCAAATATGCCTTGTGGTAATGTATGCATCTCAGTGGGTCTAGAATGTTTGTCATATTTGTGCATACCCTACATATTTTGTCTGCACTTTCATTGTTGGATGGTGATAGATTGTGTGCAAATGTTGCACCCTAAATATTTAAAAAAGATAATGCTAGGTCATTAGTCAAAGTGCACTTATAATGGAAGAGATATTCTTGGTCCTTTCCTTAATTACTAGTTTATCGCATGCAAGTTGCACACATGGAAAGTTAACACCTCATTAATTATGTGTAATTCGTATTAATTAATATGATGCTTAAATCCTCACCATTGATTTTAAAGCTGAGAATAGTCCACCGTTCTCATGGGAGGGAGTATCCCCACTTAAACCTTACCCCCCCCCCCCCCCCCACACACACACACATATATATATATATATATATGGTACATTGACTTATTTGCCACAAACAATCTTAAAATTGATATTTTTGGTGAATTAGTCTATGGCATCCACTATTGTTGTTAATGGAATTGTTAACGATGCTCGTGGTGCACATTTAAATGGTCAGAGTGATGACGTAAACCTTGTTGGAGAAGAAGAGTAGGTTTTGGATTTTGAATCTAATGGGAAATGGATAGCTTGATATTTTGTAATTTGTATTTTGTGGATGAATCATGAATGATGAATCTGTAAATCTGTAATGATTTGGAATTTGGATAACTTGATAAACTTAGAACTTAGTAGTTAGTAGTTGGCTAGTAAGTTTTTTGTAATGGGTAAATTGTAAATCTTTAGATTTTATTTAGATTATAGACTTATAGTAATTCTGTATTTCATATTTCCATTTTGTATAATAATTACTTATAAGTTGCTAATGTACTTATATATTAGTAATTTCGTACATTATTGTACAAGTATTCAAAGGATACACTTGAATTCTGAAAATATGGGAATCAAAATATATTATGATATATATTTTCAATTTTCAAGGTTTTTGTTAAATTTTTTTTTTTTAAGTGTATATTACCCGAATTCCATTCGGAGATCCGACCGAACCGAAACAACAATAAAACTGAAAGGTTAAATTACATTTAACAACATAATTGAGTTTAAATAATCAAATATGAAATCTGAGCGGTTTGAGCCTCCGACCATTCGAACCGATCCGATTCGTCTGTTGCTCTCCCCTAGCAGCGGCGGTGAACACGTTCGGTGGCAGTGGCGGCAACAATGGTATGGAGGAGAGATGGCAACAATGGCTTAGGTTTGAAAGAGAAGAAGAAGAAAACTAGAAGGGAATGGCTGGTCTCAAAATATTACGATACGACGTAGATTTTGTAATAAATTGACGTCGTATCTTGTAATTTTTTTTTTAATTCAAAAGCCCTACTGTGTAGGTTTTTTTTAGTAAAACCGACGTCGTATCATAAATTAAAAATATAAAATAACATACGTATACAACTAACATCGATTTTATAAAGAATAGACATATACTCGTTGATTAAAAAAAATTCATAAAATACGACATCGGTTTGCTATTAACCGATGTCGTAAATTTATTTATAAAAAAAAAAACCAAAAAAAAAATCAGTAGTATACGACGTCGGTTTTATTACAAACCGACGTCGTATACCAATTGTAAAAAAAAAAATAAAATTAATAGTTATATTATACGACGTCAGTGTTTATAGTATATTCATTAAAATTATTTACGATATCGGTTTTATTTAAAACCGACGTGAAAAGTTTTTTTAAAAAGAAAGTATAAATTGATTTAATGTTTATCGGCGTTATATGTTTGACATTGTATGTTATTTTTGTAGTAGTGAGTTGTTCGTTGGATCTTCTCTGGCGGAAGATGAAGCAACTTTCTCGTGTCCAACAAGAGACTGAGGATACTTTGTCATCTCCTACGTACTGGCGATGAGGAGGTTACTTTTTTTGTCTCACGCAAATGTAGGAAATGCTTCCTACTCCTACAAGGATAAGGACATGCAGGAATCTCTCCCCCTCACCAACCAACCATATGGAATTTAAATAATTTACAAAGAGCTAATAATATTTACTTACTTTTTCGTACGTTGTTTAACTAAAACAGTCGTTTAATTCATTTTATTTTTAGGTAGATCCATGTCCGTACCATCATATATATATAGGGAGGGGTGATCAAGTGCAGCCGTGCTGTTAGGTGTGGTCATATAGTCCATTACAGGCCATTAGATTAGATAAATTCAATGAATCACATTAATCAAGATTCTTCAAGTATTTTTGCGCACGTTCTCCTATCCAGCGAATTGCAATGGTAAACTCGTCATAGGGCACTGGAATATAGAAAATCACATTGGTGTGTGTTTTATTTGTGTAATTGGTGCATTATTAGGCTTACTCCGGTGTATATGTAGATTTCCATTGGTGCCAAGTTTAGGTGCGGCAACGCTTTCCCGTGTGTTCAGTGCGGTCGCACCAATTGTTATACAAATATACACCATCTATGTTATGAAATGCACATCAAAGAAACATACACAAATTAGGTACGCATCACCAAAAACGCGCCATTAGATATAAATAAATAAACCATACAATGTTCGGGAATACACTATTGGTGTGTTTTATTATACTATTGGTGCATGTTGTCAACACTGTTGGTGTATTTCTGGAACCCGGCCGCTATAAATGGCCACTGTAATTACCATAACACTCCCACTTACCAAAACGTGCTAAAATCCTCAAATCCTCAGAATTAGCCACTGTCGTTAGATTAAACTGATTCAACGACACAGATACGACCACACTGCCACACTTAATGACATGACCATATATGAGCTCTTATATATATATATATATATATATATATATATATATATATATATCAATTATTATTATCATTTTTACAATTAATATTGTATAACAAATAACTTTATAATATACTCCGTATTTATGTTCATTTTTCAAGAAAATGAAACAAACAGAGAAAAAAGTAATTTCTTAACTTTCTACCAAACAAAAAAAATGTAGTTTTTAGACCATCCGCCAAACACTAAAAAATAAAAATATTTTCCAGAAATTGAATTATCTCTCGAAAAATATTTTCAGATTTTCAAATGGACCTAATTATATATAATAGGTACATAATTTATTAACTATAAGTACATAACATATCAATTGTAGATACATAATATGAATGTGTTTTGCATCAATAATGTCCACAATACAATGGGGAACATGGTCCATGATATAGCAATTGATTTATTAGGCGGGGGAGATGATTTTTGTTTTTATCGTTGTGGGAAGATTTCTGATCGCGTAGTGTCAGCTTTCTAGGCATTTATTTATTTATTTATTTATTTGAAATGACATCTTGGACTCTTGGAGTACTACCTCAACACTATATAAGTGGGGTTAGCAAACTTAGACCATATATCATTCACTTCATCAAAGTATAGTAGCGAAATGACATGGCTTGTTATGTACCTTATTTCTTTTCTAGTTATTGCGATTGCTCATTGGGTGTATAGATGGAGAAACCCAAAGTGCAAAGGGTTGCTCCCTCCTGGCTCAATGGGTTTTCCAATCATTGGTGAATCCATCCAATTCTTCACTTCTCACTCCCTCCAAGGTATCCCACCCTTCATTCAACAGAGAGTGACAAGGTAAACTATAAAACTAGCATGGATTTTAGTTTCTAATTCAAGTATAAGAATATAAAGATAGTAGTGTAAATTTAGATGGATGAAACATCTTTTATATACATTTAGGTAACAATAGAAATGTTTCTAACAGCTTTTATTATTATTAATTCTAAAATATCAGTGACTATATTATTTTACCACAAAAAAAAGAATGTATTTGATATTTTGACAATATTAAGTAGTTGAATAAAAGGAACTTGACTGATTTTTTTCTCTAAAATTTCCCCTTTCTATTTGCTTTTAAAGTATGACCATACATTCTTCCAAAAGGTTGAACTTCAACCCTAAGGGCCCCACACTCCGACCCGACAGAATACTTGGGAAGATGTAAATCATGGTAACTCAACTGAACATGAACCACCGAATAGGCGGTAAAATATGGCCATACATATAAGAATAGGCGGTAGCCAAATATTTTCTTGTGTGCTCCTTCGAAGGATGCATTCAGTCTTAAGCGCATCCTTATCAGTTTGGATTTTTGTCAAGGTTTTTAAGTTTATAGGGAAAGAGCAGAGAAAAAAAAAAAAAAAAAGGAAAAAAACCTGAAAATAAGTAAAAAAAAAAAAAAAAAAAAAAAAAAAAAAAAAAAACAAATCATCTTTGTGTGTCCTACTGGTGAGCGCACGAGTCCAGCATGATTTTTTTTCAAAAAATTTCCACCAGACCCACAAAAAATTATTTTTTTGCAAATGTAAATTGTCTCTCTCCTCTTTTTTCTTCCGTCCATTTCTCTCATTCAAACAAGCAAGGAAAAAAAAACAAAAAACAAAAAACAAAAAAACTCCTAAAAATATAATGATAGAGATACTTTAATTTAATGGGGTAAGGTGTTTGGTTGGCATGAATTTCAATTCCATTGCAATGAAATTCATCATCCATGTCATCAATTAAATTATTTTGTTAGATGAATTGAAATTTCCTCAAACTATTGAATTACAATTCATATACCCCTCCAAGAATTCGAATTTAGCAGCGGGTTGCAAAAGAAAAATGAAGAAATTTAGAAATTTACCCTCTATTATTATTATTATTATTATTATTATTATTATTATTATTATTAATACACAAGGACATTTACAGAGCGTTTGGTTGGAAGGAGTGAATTAGAGGGGAAATGAATTTTAATTCTATGAGAAAAGAATAAAAAGTGAGAATTTAAATTACATTGTTTGATTGGTAAAAATAAAATGATTGAAAATTGAAAGAGAAGTAGTGAATAAAGACTAAAATGTCATTGTGGCCCTGTTTAGTAAATAGTTCTTAGCTGATTGTGTTAATTAGAGGGTATAACTAGTTGATAACATTAGCTGATTATAGAAAGGTGTTTGGTAAATTAGCTGTTACCTGATAGCTGTTTGGTATAATTTCTTTTCTCAAAAAGCTAATTGAAAAAGTTGGTTTGAGTAGCTTTTTTAATTTTAGCATTTTGAAGTACAAAAAGCTAATTATCCAAACAGTTATATTGATTTTAAACCAAGTCAAACAACTAATAGTAGTCAAATAACTCAAAATTGGCCTATAGACTAACTATTTTACCAAACAGAGCATGTATGTATTATAATAATAATAATAATAATAATAATAATAATAATAATAATAACAATAATAATAATAATAATATAATAAGAAGAATGACAAAATAGTAATTCAGCATAGAATTACAATTCCATCCTACCAAACACTCCTTCTTTATATCACTTCTTCCTTTAATTTCTCATTCTCAAAATTATATTACTATCTACCAAATAATGTAAATTGAATTTCTACTTTATTCTCACATTATTTTTTTTTTCCGTCAAATTATAATTTATTCCCTTCCTAATTCTCCCATTCCAATCAAACGCCGAGTATATGAGTTCCCATATATTTTTCAGGTATGGTTCACTGTTTCGAACAAGCATAGTTGGACAAAAAGTGATTGTGTCAACCGACTCAGAAATCAACCATTTCATATTCCAACAAGAAGGGAAGTTGGTCCATTGTTGGTACACAGAAAGCGGTGCTCAAATCACAGGACCACAAGGCTTTATGGTCCATCATGGCGACTCCCACAAGTACCTAAGAAACCTGGCTCTTAACCTCGTCGGCCCCGAAAACCTTAAACAAACGTTGCTCACCGAGATGGACCAAACTGCTCGTCAACATTTGGATCACTGGACTGCTCTCTCCAACTTGGACATTAAACAAGCTACTGAAATTGTAAGTATCATAATAAATTAAAAAATCTATATAATATTTGCATGTTTTGACGTGTAAATAATGAAACTTGTGTGAGACTGTGTCACGAATTCTTCTCTGTGAGATGAGTCTGAATCAATAATTATACTAAATAATGTATTTGTTACTATAAGGGAAAAAAGAGTAATATTTTTACCCTTTTCTTTATCCATAACAAACACTGTATTTTATTCCGGATTAGTATTACAATTTTATCTCACAGGAGATCATTGAAATTAATTCTTGGTTTTCGCCCAGATGTTATTCAAACTTGCTGCCAGCAAAGTTTTGAGTTACGATGAGAAGAAGGCGATGGAGCTTAGAAAGTATTATAAAGCTTTCATGGAAGGGTTTGTATCATTTCCTCTCTATGTCCCCGGAACTTCCTTTTATGCTTCCATGCAGGTGCCTCTTTTAATACATTATGAAAATTTTACCAAACTTCACATTACTGTATGTATTTTATTTTTGTCTTATATGTGTATATAGGAACGTAAAATATTTTTTGGTGTAATCTCCTTGCTGAATTGTAGGGACGTAAAAATGTGATCAAGTTAATTAAAGAAACGTTAAACGAGAGACGATCCAGCTGCAAGAAGAAGAAGAAGAAGAAAGATTTCTTGGATTATCTACTAAGTGAAGTAGACAAAGAGGAAACATTTCTAACAGAAAAAATTGCAGTGGATGTAATTTGTATGCTTATCTTTGCTGCCTACGAAACCACTTCTTCTGCCACAACATTAGCATTGAAGTTCCTCAATCAACATCCTCACGTCTTAAAACAACTACAGGTTTGCATTTCAACCTTTTGGGATTCAACGTTTTGGGAGAAGGTTTGCATTTCGATATGATCACTTTATTTAAATAAGTCAACTTAAATAATCAAAGATTTCAAAGAAATAGATTATTCATAGTATTCATATATACAACTTTAGACAAAATTACACTTTTAGTCCTCTGACTATTGTGGTCTTGTTAATTTGAGTACTTAACTTTAAAAATTAAAAATTTAATCTCGTAACTATGTACTTTTTAACACATTTGGTCCACCCTGCCAAATCTCCGGCTAAATGTAGTTGGAAAGTTATAAACCATTTTTAGGGTGTGTTTGGTTCACACATGGGAATCGGAATCGGAATCGGAATGGGTATCAAATACTTGGTAATGGTAATGAGTTTTAGTGAAAATATTTTGCATGTTTGGTAGTATGGTGGAATGAGAATAATTATCAATAATGTTGTTTGGTTATGTATGATCCTATAATGGGAATAAAGATTTTAAAAATACAAGAACACAAAATCAAGACAATTGATTCTAATATAAAGATATCCAAAACACCAATATGAAAAAAAAAAAAAAAAAAAACAAAAAAATCTAAAAACACTAATCAAAGGGGATGAAATGAATAAGGGAATGAAAGGGGGTGATACCCTTATTTTATTTGGGTATGGGTTTTGGGGTATTTGAAACCCATATAGTATTCTAAAAACCTATCAAGCAAACAATACCAATCACTTTGATACCATTCGTTAGAGCTGGTTATAAAAAAAAAATGGAAAAGTTAACCCGCCGCGGATGAACGGAGATGAAGTACCATGAAGTTTCCATCGCCGTCGTTCACCCGTGGCCAAGATGATTCTTTGTGCGTTCTTGAATTAAGACCATCAATTTTTTAGGGATGAAATTTTGGTGGAAAATTCACCATAGGGATTCACCATCTTTGTAGTACGCCTGGCAAAGTAGCAGAAATAATGCAAATCATTAGCCTCCATGAGCGGCATGCCCGGCAAAGTAGCAGAAAGAAGATGATGGATATATTATAAGTCGACCCGAGAGCACGGAGCAAGAACAGGCCCCGGAGCGATGCTACGTGCACAATCCGTTCACCTGGGCACGGGACATCGGTCGGGGAAGCCCGGGGACGCGCGGCGACTTTCTGTCTCTTCGCCGCGGAGGCGTGCTCTACGGCACGATCAAGGCGCTCACGGAGGGAGGCCATACCAGGAGGTCCCACTGCAATAAAAACAAACTTGGGGTTAACGCATACGTAATATAAATAGTTGGTGGTCCAACAGGGAAGAAGGAAGAGACCTCGGGAGGAAGCACGGGAAGGACCAAAGGTGGACCCGGAGGAGGGCTCGGCGAAGACCTCAGTCAAGGACCCCGAGGAATGCTCCGACTGCTCAGAATCGCTCAGATCAATCAAGTGGCGCGCGTCGGACCTTGAGGCACATAAGAGGCGGGGGCGAATGCGCGGCGGCAACAGAGCGCCCGACGTGAAGCCCAAGCTCTGCATGTTCTCCTCCGTAATCATCTCTCCGATGGCGATCTCTCCCAACTCACCTCGGAAGGCGTGGATGTCCCGAGCCAAAAGGGTCGTCTGGGAGGGGTCATGTGCCGCACAAAGCGATTGTTCCAGGAGAGAAACAGGCAAGGAGAGCCGACCGAGATGAAGACAAAGTGGAGCTTCCAATCCTTGTTGGTCTGATTGATATCATGGAACACTTTCATGTGCGCCCGAGCTTCGATAGCAACGAAACCTTTGCTCGCATGGCCGGAGGACGATGTAACTTGAAACAGGCTTTGAAAGAGGTCGATATAGGGTCTCACATGGATGGTATGGCAGTGGAGGAGGAAAGCAAGAAGTAGGTAATGGGCATTGGGAACTAATTGCCTCGGAGCTATACCGTAATGGTTGAGGAAATCCACAACGAAGGGGTGGATGGGGAAGCGGAAGCCGAGGTTCAGGAACTGCACATAGATCCCAAAAAAGTGAGGCGCGGGGGGCGCCGTAACGTTCCCCGCCGGGGAAGGTAGGCGGACCTCGGCAACCGAACCCACGTAGCTCCTAGCCTCTTCGAACTCGTAGGCGGAAGTCAAAGCCAGAGTCGAGGCGGCGACAAGTGTTTCTAGAGGGGTGTACATAGTGGGGTCCTCGAACGGGACGGAGTTGTGGTCGTCCATAAGAGGAGGATGGGCATCCAAAGGACCCCCGTACGGCGTAGTAACCTTCGCGGTAGGGGAGTGCATGGCTAAGGGAGAGTGGGTGTCATGAGTGTCGTCCATGGGGAGAGTGTTGGTGTCTACGGAGTCCAAAAAATCATCTAAAGAGTCGGAAGAAGAGTACATGCACAATATAGACCAACGAAATAAAAGGAGGTGTAGGGGGGAAGTATGATCGGCCTATGAAACGAAATAAAGGGTGAATGGGGTGTTCTCGGCCTAAGCAGGAAAAAAAAAAACAAACAAACAAACAACAACAAAAAAAAACCAGCGTGCGCTAAGGGGAAAAAAGGGAGGAAAGAGTTACCGTGCTCGGGCTAGGCGGCTCGGCAGGGGGGTCGGCATGGGCAGCTCGGTCATGCGGCGGGGCGGCTCGTGTGGACTCGCTGGAGGAGTAGGAAGGGAGAGGAGAAAGAGAACGGTGTGTGGTGGTGAAAGTGAATGGAAGAAGGATGTTGATATTGATGGTGGGAGGGGAGGAAAAAGGGGGAAATTCGAAAATCAAAAGGGGGAAAAATGGGGGAAAATGAAAAAGAGGGGGAAATGGTGATGGTTGTGATGTGTTAACTTTAGAGATATTTGTGGGTAGGATAAATGAGACCTATTGGGATTTTATCACATTTGAGTCCTAGCAGATGAAGGAGCTGCGCTCATAATAGAGTTCCAACCTTATCGCAAGAGGTGCATTTCCGTACGCACACCCGTGGGCCTCGGACGTGGACGCCAAGAGGTTGTCATTTTTGGCGGGTCGGCTGGAGCATCTGCTCTCCTTCACTGACGATCACTCGCAATTCGGAGAGTGGGGGACTAATGATGGATATATTATAAGTCGACCCAATGTTGAAAAAATCGCTAGGCGCCTGGGGACCGCCTAGCGCCTAGGCGCAATTTTTGCAACACTAAGTCGACCCGAACCGACTCGAGAGCACGGAGCAAGAACGGCCCCGGGGCGATGCTACGTGCCAAATCTGTCCGCCTCGGCACAGGACCTCGACAGCCGCCTCGGCATGAGACCTCAGCAGCCACCTCGGCACGGGACCTCAGTGCGAGGCCTCGGCAGGGGGTCGGCAAATGACCTCGGCGGCCGATCTTGGCCGCGTTGCCCGGTCTCTGGACTGGGCGCGGTCAAAGCGGGGGACAACCGCTCCCCCAATTTAGAAGGGCAGTTGGGAGGTCCGCGGCTTGTATAAAAAGCCCTTCCTTTGTCCAACTAAGACACATTCACTACTTTCATTATATTGTCCTAATCAAGCATTGTAATAACTTATTAGCGATATCTAATACAATATTTGTTCCCCACGACCTTGCAACGACATCGTTTGCCTATCTATCTATCCTTTTATTATTTACGTTCTTTACCAGGTTTAGCAATTCAGTTCCACCCCAGGTAATTAAATCCATCAGAAGGCAAATCTTTGCTGAATTTTCCGGCGGAATTTCGATGTCGCCGTGGAACATATGGTAGCAAACGGCGCTTTAGAGTGAACAACGCAGTGCCCAGTAACCCAAATCCTTTGGCCAAGTCCAGAATCCATGGCTGAATCAAATCATACAACACCAATCGAATCAAGTCCAGAATCCAATGGCAATTCCAACCAGCAGATGCAAGGAAGAAGAAAGTGATATTAAATGACCGATTTGCCCTTATAATTTAATAATTAAAAATGGTTTATAACTTTCCAACGACATTTGGCCGGTGATTTTACCGGGTGGACCAAATGTATTAAAAATTGCATAGTTACGAGACTAAATTGTTAGTTTTTAAAGTCAAGTACTCAAATTAACAAAACCACAATAGTCACAGGACCAAAAGTGTAATTTTCATTACAACTTTATATATAAATAACAGTTAGGGTGTGTTTGGTTCATGGGTAATGAGAATCAAAATCATAATTAATGTTTGGTTGACAACATTTTAAAACACAACTATTGAATTTGATTATCCCTCCAATTAAAAACTTCATCTTCTAATTAAAAATGGGTGTCACTCTATCTGATTGGTAATCTAATTTTTAAGTTTGGATTAATGTTTTTAGATTTTTGTTTTGATTTTTTTTGTTCATTTTGGTGCTTTGTACGTCATTATATTATGATCAATTGCCTTGATTTTTTTTTTTTTTTTATATTTTTAAAACCTTTATTCCCATTATACGGTCATACACAAAACATCAATATTATATTAGTAATCATTCCAACTCCACTCTTCTACAAAACATATAAAATATTTTCCCCAAAACTCATTCTCATTACCAAGCATTTGATTCTCATTCCAATTCTCGAACCAAACACACCCATAGTTCTATTTAAGTTTTTCAACAGCATAATAGAAACATGCAATGATTAATGTTAAGGTATGTCATGCAATTACACTAGGAGGAGCATGAGAAAATTATTGCGGCCAGAGAAGATAAGGAATCCAGCATTACATGGAATGAATATAGATCGATGAAGTTCACGCACATGGTTAGTTTACTAATCAAAAGAATATTACTACATGGACCAATTTTTATTTATTAGTTATACGGAATTGGTCAACTTCACATGATTCGAACCCGTGACCTCGGCTCTGATATCCGCAAGTCATTCACCATGTGACTGTTGTAAGTCAAGCACGCTCACTCATCCTATGACTATGTACTGTAAGTCAAGCACGCTTGACACATAGTTCTTTGGTTATCTAATTGTCATATCTTACTCAAAACCAATTGGTGATAAATAGATGGACATTAAATATTTAACCACATCCATCCATCCATGATAAGTCACAACACCACTTTTCGAATCGAACAGGACTGAACTCAGCCAATCCGGCCGACACTCAAGAAAGTTATATAGTGATGGTGAAAAATTTTGATCTTATAACATGATGTTTCTCAAAATTAGTGACTTCCGGCCTTTATTATCCATATTGAGATATTAAGTAATCTTCACATTTTGTGTATGTGGAAACAGGTTATAAATGAAACCGTTAGGCTAGCAGATATTGCTCCAGCAATCTTCAGAAAAGTGGTGCAAGATTTCGAGATAAAAGGCAAGTACAAACTTTATATATTTTGTATGTAAAAATATGGCACAAACCTTTGACTAAATAAGGATTTCAATCATGCCAGCTTATTCGATTTTGGGTTAGTCTTATCAGGTTGTCGAGCTTCTTAGTTCAAGCTAATTAGTTTTTTTTTGGTCGAGCTCAAAATTCTTGACCCAAACTCTAAAATATCGGACTATTAAGCTTATCGTGCAAGCTCAAGTAAAACTTTTGACATTTTTAAATTCACATTCTAAATTTTTAATTTTAATAATGTAGCGCATTTACAGTAATAAATATAAACATATACATCATTTAATCAATCTAAACCTATATTTCCGGATTCCAACTTCAAATAATTAATATACCTACACGCACTAGAAATATGGAGTAATATTTATTGTAAATAATTTTATTTTTCATTATTTATTTTCATAAAAAACATTTTGAAAGCAACACTTTTGGCTCCTGAATTGTTTCACTTTTTGAAATTGGTCTCTGTTAGTTGATTTAAACAAATTTAGTCATGCTTTCAAAAAAAAAAAAAAAACAAATTTAGTCCATTACTTATCCATTATGTTGCATTTTCAGTCATTCGTGTTATATAATTTCCAAACTTTATTATCAAACTCCTTTTATGAGATTATTATTTAATTTTTTTCATTTAGGATCAATATCCACTATTAAAGTTTCATTCTCGCTATGTAAACATACATCATTTTTTAACAGCGAATATTAATTCTAAATTATAAAAATAACATCATATGTTAATGGAGTTTAATCTTTATCTTCTTTATCTTTATCTTTATATATAATAAAGCAGAATCCTACTTTCCCTTCAAAACTAGCTTTCCCTCCAAAATTGTGAATGAACTTTGGAAAAATAGGCTATAGCAATGGGATAGGTAATAGGTTTGCCCTAGAAATTTTTTTAAAAATGTAATTATATATTGGCCCAACATTTGTTATATTAAAACTTTAATTTTTTATTAAGTTATTATATATATATATATATATATATATATATATATATATATATATATATATATATATATATATGATTGTTTTCAAATACAAACTCCCCTTAAAATACAAACTGTGTGCATGTAAGTATGTTAATGTGTGCACGAGCTTTGATGGATGGTTGTGATTTTTTCCTCTTATGCGCTGTGTGCATGTAAGTATGTTAATGTGTGCACGAGCTTTGATGGATGGTTGTGATTTTTCCTCCTACGCGTTGTGTGCATGTAAGTATGTTAATGTGTGTATGTAAGTATGTTAATGTGTGCACAAGCTAATCCCAGAAATTGTTGAATGATATATATGTGTGTGTGTGTGTGTGTGTGTGTGTGTGTGTGTGTGTGTGTGTGTGTGTGTGTGTGTGTGTGTGTGTGTGCGTCCGCGCGCGCGCGCTAACTTTTTAATATTTTTTAATTTTGATTAGTTTTCTAATAATTTATAAAGAAAGTTAGGTAAAGTAAAATCAAGTAGGGAAAAAATTTTCCCGTCTAAGTGTGAATACATATTAATAGATTTGTAAGATCATTATTTTTATTGTATGTAAACTACGAGGTCGTCTGGGTCTTTCTCTGTCCGTTTAACTTTATAAGATCATTATTGCAAATGAGATTAGCAATACGAATGCATTTATTGTCTTTAACATTTAAATATTACATTGTATAACTATATTTACATTTTTAATAAAACTAATTCTGCTTTGTATCATAACATTACAACAGTACTTATAAATTTTTGTCCGTGCATCGCACGTGGCAAATACTAGTAATAATATATAACATGATAGACTAAAAGTGCAACATTGTGAATATTTAGGGGCTGAAGTTGTTTCAATTAACTTACATGGACCAAATTTATAAAAGTTAAACAATTCAGGGTGAAAAAGTGTTTTAATTTCTCAAAATATTTTGTTTTGTAATAAATTTATTAATATATTTATTAAAATTTTATTTTAATATTTAATAAAAAAAAACCACTAAAGATGAGCTTACATATAAACTCCATGTATATTTTGTTCCACTTCACTTCTATAAAAAAAAAAAAAAAAAAAAAAAAAAAAAAAAAAAAGCCTTATGTGCAGCAATTATACTGTGGAACGTGGTCCACATAGCTTTGCGGCACGCGGTCCAAAAACGGCGCTGTTTCTTTAAATAAAGAAATGGCGTGCCGTTACAGTTAACGGAGCGCGCATGTTTGGTGTAATAATTACGAATTGAAACTACAGTGTATCTAAATTGATACTGCCTCACGTATTATTTTTATATTATCAAATGAAACTGCAATTGAATTGAAATGAAATGAAACTGTAGTTGTGTTAAAATGAAACTGCAGTGTATATAAAATGAAACTGAATAACATTTTACATATTTGAGTGTATATTGTGTAATGAAACTGTAGTTATATCAAAATGATAATGTAGTTGTGTTTTAATGAAACTATAATGTATATAAAATAAAATTAAACAACATTTTCACATATTTGAGTGTATAAATATCGAATGAAACTGTAGTTATATCGAAAAAAAATTGTAGTTATATTAATTTGAAATCAATGGCTTAATTATTTAAAGGGGACTACATACGTTCTATAGTGATTAGTGATTATATGCTTTGATACGATTATTTTTACGTAATTATCATTACAAATTCTGAATTTTAAACAAAACTATTCTATATTGGTTTCAAATAGTCTGTGTGCTAAATACAAAACCTATATGCACTGATGAATGCAGGATATACAATTCCCAGAGGATGGATGTTCATGATTTGCCCATCATCTGTTCATCTAAGTGCAGAGAAGTACGATGATCCTCTTTCATTCAATCCCTCTAGATGGAATGTAAGTGATAAACATTACGCAACTAAGTAAGTTTGACATATCACTTTTAGAGTGCGTTTGGTACTTTTTATCAATTAAATTCATAGAAAAAATATTTTCAAGGAATTATATTTGATGGAAATAACGTTGTTGGGAAATTAATTGACATGTTTGATTTTACTCTAAAAACATAAGAATTGAACTACCTAAAAAATTAATAAGATTTTTGGTTCGTTTAACCTTTCTTATGAAATTATATTTAAATTTCTAATATATCCTTATTATATACAAACATTAAAAAGAAAAAACATAACGAATAATTGAGAGTTTAATAAATCACTTGTAAATTAATAAACTATGTGCCAAAAAGTTTTAGTCTACAATAAGAATATTCAATATTCGAAACAGTATCTATGTAAAAAAAAAGTATTGAGAGAGACAAAATTGTTTCGGATAAATAGTGTTGTTATCGTAGTGGTGGGATAGATAAATATCTTATATTTATAAGAAACATTTAACCTGACGCCCAAAAAAGATAAATAAATATAATTAAATAAATTTATTAGATTCACAATCACCCGTGAAAAAGAATCATATCTCCATAAATAGGATCTACTTTACTTGATATCATTGAATTAGATTCCTATTGAATTGAACTTTTCTAAGTCAAAGATTGTAC